TTCCTCGACTGTGTGGTGCTGCGACGACGAGCCCGAGACGTTTGGAGAGGCCTACGACCTACTCTCGACCCATGGCCGACGCTACGGCACGGTCTACGTCCCGTTTGGACTGCATCTCGTCGCTCCGCAACCGACCGTGCTGGGCCCCGCCCCTGAAATGGGTCCTTTCCGGCACCACTGCGTCGCCGCGCGACGCGCGAAAGGGCGTCCAGCGCGCCCGCGCACCGTCCCCGACCCAGACGCGTCCAGGATCGCCAGGGGGCGCCCGGAGGGGGGTCCGTAATGGCAGCTAGCATGAGCAAAACTTTGGCGTCCATTTGCTCGATTTCGCTCTCGATTGCTAAGGTGCTGTTTTGTATCCACCCAGCCACACTTGGCCTTTCGTATCTCCCACAACCTGGGGATACGCTACACGCTTGCCGACCCGAACCAGCGACCCGCGCTCCCAGGCTGCCTTGATTAATACGATTAGCGCGCAAACTCGCTTCGTTATATTCGGCGTGGCCATAATTCGCCAATTTTGCCTCCGGTCCCCGCTTGGCCGCGCGCGACCGATTTTCAGGAAGGCGTTCAGGAGGTGTAGTACACGTCCCGCCCGCCGCCGCCGGGAAACAATAAATAATACTTACTTACTTACTTATTTCGAGTGGGCCGGCCTAGGCGTACGTTGTTTCGCACACTGTGCTGCAACCGCGGCCCGCAGGCCAAGTTTGAATAGCCGCGCCGCTCAGCACCGTCTGCGGGCAGCACTACCGCGCGAAATTACCACCAACCAACACGACATGCAGCAGAAAAAATCGCACAAGCACCACGGACCGGGGCATGCCCGCAACAACCCGCACGCGCAACGCGCAGCTGCAACGGCAGGTGCCATAAGTTGTACCAGGGCAAACCAGGAATAAATCGAATAGAACTTTAGGATCGACATGCGGGCCTTTTTTACGACTCTCTGACACAGTCCTTCACTGCGCTTAAAAATGCCATAGCCTGCCCAGGGTCCTATTTCCAGAAGGCCGAGAACGAAGCATAGAGCGCAATTAATTTCCATTACCCTCTGCCGCCTACACCTGCGTCTTTGCAGGGGCGGGGCGTGGGCACGCACTTAGAGTTTTACTTGGTCTTCGTTGGCAGTAACGTCATGGTTCTTTTTGAAGTCCCATTCCCCGCCACGTTGATTCATTAGATCCTCGAGATCATCAAAAATCGCTTCGCATTCCTGGTCGTCCTGAGCACACTTCGCATCAATCTCACGCCGAATGAAGGATTCCGACTTAAGCACCACCTCGTGACCTGTGAGCTCCAACATAAGCCCTTTACTGGATACTCACTAGCTACCATCATCGAACGTCCATGTGGTACCTCGCACAAACTCGCCACTTTCACCCCGTGAACTTGGTGAATGATGTGCCTGCGAGCATTGAGATAACCTTCATCTGAGATTTTTCTCATTAAGACTCGAGACATACTGCACAAAGCGTAGGAGTTGACACTTGATTATCCTCTGTACAATTCGCGAACTCTTTCCGTGAGATGTTTGAGTTATCGATAATATATTCGGGTCCTCGATCGGAGGTTAAACCGCAAGGGCGGGTCATGATATTATGTGGACACGTGAGCTATGTAAGATTAAAGATTTCACATAATTCATGGTAGAGCGGACACGAGACATAATCGGCACAAGTTCACTCTTTGCAGAAGGAGTATTCACAGGCAACGTGCCCACACCTCGCTCGTTAAATACAGTTGATTCGTCATCCACCTTTGCATCAAGCACTATGAAGATCAACTATTGCACACGCTGCCAAGCACCGATATGTTTCCAATAAGGTTCAAAAGTTCCTCCACCAGTGGAGTCACGGATCGCTTGGTTTTGAAAAATTTGCTGTTCAACAGGGTGTGCACCGTAGGGCGTTTACGAGCCTCTTTTTGCAAGCACATTCGTACCATCTCCTTGAAAGAGCGCGAGAAAGACTCACCTGGTGCGTGTCAATCGTTCATTGATAGAAAAAGTAGCAGCAATTCATACCTCTACTCGACTTTTCTGTCGAGTAACTCCTCAATGAAGGCGGTTCTTCTTGGATTGTAAGCAACAGTACTTTCATGGGCGGGTGGAATGCATACGGTGCAAAACCCTTCGCAAGCTCTAGGGCGGTAATACCAAAGCTCCATATATCAGCCTTGTAATCATATCCATCAACCTGTTCCATAACCTCCGGTGCCATCCAACACCTATAATTAATCGATTAAGTACGATCGCTTACTGGAAACGCAGAAGCCAAACGGAGTGCCAACGAACGTTTTCGCTGTACGTCGGCGCAAGCCAGCATGGACAAGCCAAGACGACACACCGAAGTCTGCAAGTGCGACATTTCCTGCTGGGTCGAGAAGCACGTTGCCTGCCTTAATGTCACGATGAATGTGACCATTTTCATGGAGATATTCGAGACCATGTAATACCTCCAAGAGGACGTATCCAAGCCATTGTTCTGACATGCCCTCTCCAAGGCCACGTTGTTTGGCAGCGTGCATTATGTGAAGGCACGACCCTTTCTCCATTAATGGCATAACCAAATAAAGCTCGCTCTTACTAACGAACGAGGCATGACAACATAACACATTTGCGTGACAACACATCCGCATCATCTGGACTTCTTTCGAGATTTCAGTGATCTCTGCTGTGACCTGTTCTAGGTCCATGACCTTCAGAGCGACGCGCTCGACGGTGTTCGCTGCCCTGGGACATGTTGCCATGTATACTTTCGCAAAGGCACCACGTCCGATGAGTCGCTCCAACGAATATGCGCCGGATTCGCATGGCCACGGGTTTGAGGGAGTGCTACACATGGCACATCTCCTAATATCACACTCCGCCCGAGAGCGGCGCGCCGCCTCGGAACCATTAATTAATTAATTTGAGTTTCCGTCTGCTTGGTCTTTCGTATCTCCCTAGCCTGGAGCTAAAGGAGAGGGGCCAGAACGACATCCAGCGGGCGTACTTGTCGCGCATCGCCACCATACTAAAGTGGGGACCTTGGGACTGAACTCAGGCTTGTGAGGATATGAACCTGCAAGGATAGAAAGAAGGGGAAATAAGGACAGTAGGGCACAGGTCGTAACTTGAAGTAGATTTGCTCGATTGTTGACGCTCGGCCGTGACATCATTTTGTTGTAGCACGACCTCGGTTTCCGACTCGGGCATCCGATGCAGCGGTTCCAGGACTTGGCGCGGCGCTCGGTCTGTGGACCATGTCGCGCCTCGGGCCCGGCTGCGAGTCGCTCGGGAAAGACCATCGGTCGAAGGCGAGCAACTTAGTTCGCGTCGGGGCAGCCCGTGGATGTCGAGAACGGCCGTTAACGGTGGGGGGCGACCGACGAGGGGCCCAACTTAGTTCCAGGGGTCGAGCCGGCGGGCGCATCGTGAGTAAACACCCTCTCGAATGTCCTTCCCGAGTGGTCTGTCAAGGTTGCGCCCGCCCGAACGCCTCATGCATTGCGCGGTGAGCACCGTGTCACCCGCGGCGCCGCGCGCCTCCCGGAGCCGGTGAGCTGATCTCGATCAAATCGCCTCGAGCCGAAGAGCTGCCTCGAGGGCATCTGATCGCCCTCATGATGAACGATTCCCGACGCTCTGTGACTCGAAGGCGACCGAAAATCGGGTCGGGGGAAGCTGCCGCGCCTCATTCCACCCCCTGGGGCTGCCCGTTTGCGTCGCCTCGCAATCGTCCGGATGTCGCGTCTTTTCATGTGCCTGACCCGCATGTTTGCGGACCTCAAAGCCGCTGGGATCGTTGCACGTCGCTGCATATTCGAGGAGCACGGGGCCCTCTAAGGTGGAGATCCCATCATCGGCCGCTGAAATACTCGTGCAGAGAGGCGTCTCTAGTCCTCTAGACGCTAGGATTTCTTCAAAGTTTGTGTTTCATTCCGCCGGATTTCCGGACCAGGGTATCCACTTCAAGTTACGACCTGTGGGGCAGATACAGGAGAATCTTCCTCCTGAGGTGCCATGTTCTCTAGACAGACCTAGACAGTGTAGATCCTAGGCAGGTGGAAATCCCTCAACGTCCAACAAGTTGGTGACCCTCTACCCCCAACCCTGACTAAGACCCGGAGCAGCCGGACGCGCTCTCGGTCGCGACATAGTGCGGCCGCGGCGCACACGGTGGCTGGGCGAGGCACCTCTCTAGAGAATAACGTCCGCGTGAATCGCGCGTACATCACGCGCAAATCACGCCGTTGTGATGGCTCACGTAAATAATGCCGCACGAACTCAGTCCATTCAGTTTCCCGGGGGCGGAGACGCCCTGGGCCGTTTTTTTGGCGGTGTTTGTTAGCGATGCCAACTTAAAAGGCGCAAGGGTTCCCAGAGACACCGTACCTTGGCTAGCTCACAGTAGCGGGGCGAAACTCCAAGAATAACGCACTTGTACAAGCGACATTTCCAATGCGACCGCCAAGAAAAGCGCCGCGACTCAATTTCTTTTTTGGCGATCCTCCTCGGCTGCAAGTGCTTCCATTGAATCCCTGAGGTAAACTAAATGGGGGGCTTTTAGAGTGGATTTTGCATTACCAGTCCATTGCATCGTCATCCTGTGACTACAAGCTAAATCAGTAAGGCGGGGGATTAAAGAACCTACCTCGTCATCGTCTTCCTCTTCATCGTCTTCGTCCTCTTCTTCATCGTCGTCGTCTTCATCGTCTTCGTCCTCGTCTTCATCATCCTCTTCCCCTTCATCGTCGTCATCGTAGTCTTCATCCCCATCGTCTTCCTCATCGCCTTCCTCACCATCCCCATCATCAGCCTGAAGAAACTGCCAGCCGGCTGGTTTTGGTTCGCCATTTTCGTCAGTCTCCTCATAGAATCGATCGTCGCTGCGAACAAGATTCATCACGCTTTTCCACGACATGCTTGCTTGACCCGCCTGTAAATGTATCTATCCGAATTGTGCAATCAATACGCATCGCCGTCACCAACCGTATATGTAAGCGAACAGTCCGTGAGCCATTCTTGGATGGCATCTAATTCTTGTACTGGCACCGCGTTTACTGATAGTGGTGCAAGTTCAAAGTTTTTGAGTATGATGACCATATCAAAATTTGTTGCGCGTAGTGTGCAACGTTCGAAGTGCACGTGTTCAACCTAGACATACATTGACGCGCACATATGAAACTCGACAACACTGAATAGAATAGACGTGATCAAGCTCCACGATGAAGAATGGCGTCTCAGTCAGATTTACGAGGCAATGGACCGTAGGTTGTATCAGAACCATCTCTCGATTTGGAACACCGTGAAAACTAAGGTCACGGTATGGAATGTCGAACCTAGGACCCAATTACACCATCATATACAAAAAGTCGCTATCCGCTCCGCATCATACTCGAGATCATAATGGTGCTGCTTAGCGACACGTTCCATCTTCTTGCAGAATTCCTTGAACCTATTCATGATTAAACATATGTTGCAACACAGATCACAAGGTAACGGGGGCTGTGACATTTCATTGAGTTTTTTTCGCAAATGGCGTTCACGTTGCTCTTCGTCGAGTTCGTCAGGGTCATACATTGACCGCCGAGCGCTGTCGAGGGCCACAGAGGCATCAACAACCTGAGTCAAGTTTATCGAAACATATTCTCGCAATCTGAACACACCTCTGTAGAGAACTGAACATCATGAGTCTTTTTCTTCCCAACCATGACAGGATTCTTGAGATGAAAGTGTATTAAGACCATTACCTCGTTTTCACATGGCTGCACAAAACAAATCAAAGGCAAGAGAATCAATTCGGCATTCTAGTACCTGGAACAGACTGTGCTTGACGTTTGCGTACATGAGGTCAATGATTTCGTGCTTCTTTGAGATAAATCGAAGACCATTAGAGTGAGCCTCAAGTGTCCCCACCGTTTTTTTACCACTTATAAATGGTCGCATCGTGAGGTCTGCCATGCGCGGGATACGCTGATCCCGCATTTTAACCTAGCAA